TGTGGGATCTGAATGACGGCAAGAATCTGTACACTCTGGAGCACAACGACATCATCAATGCCCTGTGCTTCTCGCCCAACCGCTACTGGCTGTGCGTCGCCTATGGCCCATCCATCAAGATCTGGGATCTGGCATGCAAGAAGACCGTTGAGGAGCTGCGCCCTGAGGTCGTCTCGCCCACATCCAAGGCCGAGCAGCCACAGTGCCTCTCCCTGGCCTGGTCCACCGACGGCCAGACCCTGTTCGCCGGCTACTCCGACAACACCATCCGCGTCTGGCAAGTGTCTGTATCAGCGCACTAAAATAATCTTATATGTTTGGACATAGCTCGTATGAATCGATGGCAAATTGATTTGTTTATGCCAAAACAACAATAAATATAAAACGACAAACATTCAATTTGTTTAAAAATGAGACTTGTAGATTAATATGGGTATAGATTAGCTAAGGCAAAACTATTTTTTTTTTTTCTGTAATGATTTTTGATTTATGAGTTATATACACAATTATCAATTGATTGGAACTAGTAAATTAATATAGATTTGTATATTTATGTTGTTTTCTTTAAGAGAAAATTCCTTGCTATGGATTATTGCTTTATGAGTTATATACACATATACATATAACATAAATATATGCAAATATAGGGTCAGAATATATTTATTCAAAGATATAAGCAAAAAACAATCGACATTAAAGCATTTTTCAAAGACCTGAAAAATCAATTGATGAATTAATGAGGATATTAATTATCTAAGGCAAAAATGTTTTATTTTATTATGTTTGTTTACCAACATGGCCCCTTGCCTATATATGATTATCATTTATGATATACAAATATATATGTGTCAATATAGGCTCCGCATTTATTTATTCAAAGTTGCAAAAAATACTTTATTCAACATTAAAGCATTTTTTAAAGGCATAAAAATTCAATTTCATTGCCAATCTTCGTTACATTTTTTGAGTATTTTATATTTTAACGTTTTTTTCCCTTTTGTTTGACAAACACACGTTTTAAATATATAACAAAATAATTTAAATAAATATTTATGAGATTCATGGTGATGAATGCGAGGAGAGCTGGAGGTGGTGGGGGGGAGGGGGGGATTAACAAAGTGCAGTGATAGTGATATTTGTCTAAACATTTCATATAAAACAACAGTATTTTTTTTTTCCAAAAATATTTTAAATCCTAAAACGAAACCAAAGAAAATGCCGCCTTGTTGAGAGAAAAACGATAATCGCTGTGGCGACGAGGCAAAAAAGCATCGCGAATGCTTATATTATAGTATGTAAATCTTTTTGGGCACTTTATAAGGTTGCTATTGAAATGGTACAGAAGAGTCTCCCTTCTGTTACTTGGTTTTGATTGAATTGGAGCGTTCGACAGCCGCTGCAGCAGCAGCTGGAGGTTTGGCTAAGGCTGCATCGCCTACTTTGCCGCCAGCCGATGAGCTGACAATTTTGTAGACGTCGTTCTTAAACACAATGACCAAAACGGTGATGTTGTCCACAGAGCCACGTTTATATGATTCCATGGCCAGCGATTTGGCACCAAAGTCTGGTTCCTTAAGATGATCCTGCACAAAGCTGCAGGCTTCCTCGTTGCTGAATGTATCCCAAAGGCCGTCTGATGCGAGTATTAAAAAACGGGGCCTAGCATTCCATCGAAATAAAAATAATGAAAAGAAATGACGCACTTAATAGAAGGAAGAGTTCATTAACTTGGCAAGCAACTGCACTCACTTGTGGTCGTTTAACTCGAAGGTCAAGATGTCTGGTGTGGCTATGACTAGATTCTGTATGGGATAGAATAATATAAAGTGAAGGCTGATTAGCAATTGAGAATTATATATGCATATATATATATAAGTATATGTATAGGCTATAAAACGTGACGTGAGAAATTCCCATCACGCCATCTATATAGAGCATGCAGCATCGACATACCTTATCTTTGAGGGGATAATCACCCATCGCTCGTGACGTGGCCAAGACCCCAGCCACGCGCCAAACGCCGCGAAAAGCTATGAAGCCGCCGGCATCGTGAATGCGTTTACGCTCGCGCACCTGCTGCGGCTTATGGTCGAAGGACAATGGTATGGCAATGCCGCGTGCATCAAACATCACGCCACGCGAATCACCCACATTTGCCACAATCAATTTGCTGTCTTTAACGATGGCAATCAAAGCGGTTGTGCCCGCAATGTTGGTCTGCAAAACAGGAAGGGAAATGTGAATCACTTGAGATAGAGAACTAAGATAGCTAATTGGGGCAGGCCCACTCACTGCGAGCTTGGCCTGCTCGACCAGCTTGTGATCCGCGGCCAGTATCTCGTCCGTGATCAGCTTGCCAAAATTAATGCGTCCATGCTCGATGTAGCATTTGGCGTCGTAGCTCGGCGGCGGCGCGTTGCCAGAATTTTGCGCATTGTTATTATTCAGAAATGAATCTTTTGCCGCACTGTTGCCGCTGGCGCGCATCGCGCTGTTCAGCTGCGCCGTATAAATATCGGCGACAGTTGCCTCCGTTGTCTTTTGTTTAATTGCGCTACAATCCGCTGTAGTGCTGTGCGCCTTACGCAAACTGTCGCGTCTGGCCACGGGATCGGCATTCTCTTTGTTGGTGACATCTTTGCGGCTCTGTTTGCGTGCCAGATACGGGCTCTTGTCGTATCCACTATACTCCGACGAGCTCTCGCTCTTCAGGATCTGGTTAATATCAATGATTTTGTTGTAGATATTCTTGACCAGTACATCGCGGGCAAAGTTGGCAGCGAACTCGCCGCCATGGCCATCGAAAACGGCAAAGAATGAAATTCCCGTGTTATTGTTGATGTTCTCCTCAATGATAAATCTGTAAGCAGATGCATATACATATAAAAACGGTTTTCTTTATAGGCTCTTCTCTCCCTTACCTGTCCTCCATGTGTGGTCTTCTGCCCAGCACAGCGAACGCGGCACTCTGTTGACGCACCTCCTCCCAGCTCTGATGATCCCCGGCACCGCTTGTCATCTCTTGGACGCGTGGCGTCTTCTGTCTACCGAGCGTGGCCTGAATGCGGCTTAATATGCTGCGACTCCATATATCGACCGCTTGCAAATAGATTAACAAGACAAACAGAATGATGCCACAGAAAATGACCTCGGGACGGAGCACATAGATGCGGCATAGTTTCCATAGATATGCCAAGGGCGAATTGATGGACGAGAAGCCCACTGCGAACTTGGATAGGATTTTCATATGTGAAACGAATGTCTGATAGAAGATCTTGTCCTCCAATTCGTCATCCATTGGGGGAACCTTATTTTGTTGGTTGTCAAAGGATCGTTGTCTGGCTCTTTACTCTTTCTGGTCGCGTTATCTGATATTTATACTGTGTATGTATGTATGTATATATATGTAACACTATGTGTAAGTATTAAACGTCGGAGATTGTGTGTGTGCGGGTTTGATTTGATGGAATAGAAATCACTAACGCACAATTATAATCTGGGGCCAGCAGCCAGCAACAGCGACAGCAGCACTTGGATTCAAAATCGAAATTTCGATTTATTTTGTATTTGCGTCTGCACTTTTCCTTTCCGTTCCGTTTCTTCACGTTTTCTTTCCCTTATTGACGAATTTTGCTTTGTGTCGCTCTCATTTTTTGACGTATTATTGCACAGCAGATTCGCCCGACTTTTTGTACCATTATATTATTTCAGAATATTCTTATTATAGCCTCTGTTGCTTGCATAAATAAAAACAAGAACAACAACATCTGTCTCTATGTGCGGTACATGTGTGTGCGTGCCTGTGCGTAAATATATATGTACGTACATACACTCGTATTGCCCACAGTACAGCCTCAATACAACGCCCGCTAGTGCTTGAAGTGGTAATACTGAGCACACAATATACTGGATTTCGTTCAAACATACACTACTTAAATTTTTAACTAACTCTGGATATTTGCTGGTGTTACTTGTGATGTTTTCTCTTTGCTGTATTTTGATTGTTGATGACAACTAGGACATTGCTTATTCTTTTGTATATAAGACGTTATAGGGGCCGACTACTGTCCATGTCGTCTTTCAGACCAGAGTTGTTATCGCTGCTATCGATAGTATTTGGATATTTTGCAACACCAATCAAATGCGTTCCGTGCCAATAAGATGATTTAAAACGTTTTGAATTTCCATATTAAAATGTGTTTATCACTTAACTCATAAAGTAACAAAATAACCGATAAATTGAGCCTAATATGACGATGAGATTATTCTTGTACTATTTTAGCGAAAGAACAATTAAATTTTGCCGTTATTATTATTTGCCATTTGTTGAAACTATCGAAAACAATTGCAGAAAAGTGTGACCAAGCTGCGCTGAATCTTAACAGCTAGTTTTTATTCACTCTTCTGTTCATACCCTTTCCTTGAATTAAAAAAATCTTTTTGAAATTTTCCTATGAGTGAATTTGATAATTGCTATATATATATTAATTTTGTAATTATTTGTTTACAGTGGACTTTTGATTGGGAATGATTTAAGAAAGAAATGGATTCAATACCTGCAGAGTTCCTGCCCGAGTACACATGTCGCCTATCCATGGCACTCAATTAAAAGCTTAATAATTTCAGCATATTTTACAAGAATTTTTCACAATGAAAGAATGTTAAAACTTGTAACTTATGAAATGAACAATCAAAACAAGAACTGCAAGCGATGCGGAGAAGAACTGCAACAAAACGAAATGACAAACCGCCAACTGGCAGCGTTTTAATATATAGTATTATTATTTATTATGCTTTGCCATGGCGTGCAAATAAACAAATTGATATATGTATATATAAATATATGTACATATATATAGATGAATGTGTGCAGCAAGTACAAATAAATGCGCTTCTAATATATAGAAATTGAAAGGGATTTATGCTCTTCTAAAAAATTCCCTACTTTTCGAAATGAAAGAGGCATATTGTTTTTTGTTGTTTTTGGTTTTAAAGTAGTATGTATTTTAATTATATTTATTGTATTTTTAGTTTGTCACATTACAAAAATATTGTATTGATTTAATTCTTTGTTGTATATAGGATTAAGAAAAAACTTAGCTCAATAAAAATGGCATAAATTTGAAATGAATATTGCATTTAACATTGATTGCTTATAGTACAAAACGTAACGGTTACACTTAACAGCGTTAAATAAAAATAACTTGTTGCATTTGCTGTTCCTGTTGCTGTTGATGCTGCGGCTGCTGCTGTTGCTGCTGATGCTGCATTACGCATTTGTTCATAAAATATGGCAATGGTTGAGCTGGCCGCTGGGCTTGCAACTGCAATGAAATTTTGTAAAACCGTTTAATTAGTATTTATTTACCAGAGAGAGAGAGTTAAGTTTGTCGTAATTTTTGCCTTTGCGTCAATGTTGCTAATCGATCATTAGTACATATATATTATCTGTTAAATTTATGGCTAATACTCTGTTCCTGTAGCTGAAATCGGGTATCTTAACTTGGGTTAAAATCTGTGTCAATACTTCTTATATATGTATGACCTAATTATATCAGAGAAGATTCTACTTATTTCGATGCAAATACGTTTAAAAAAAATATATAAAATAAAAAATCACATTTATAAAAACCATTAAATTTAATTACTGAATTATGTACACAAAATAAAAAATAAAAATAATTATTAAACTGTAGTTAAAATATTTTCAACAAAACTAAGATAAATAATACAATGTACATATATTAAGTTTTGAATTTATAAGAGTATAAAAAATTTCTCTATACACTATATACAAATTGGGAAATTCAATTTGATTTTTATATATTTGGAGAAATTTTAGGAAACACGTGTATCAATAAACTTCGTAATGATTTATATTAAGTCGGTTATTTTCCGAATTTTAACACACATACACGCCAACATACCTCTTTAAACTGTGCACTGTCGGAAGCGATCGGCATTTTCCTGAATATTGCGCAGATAGATATTGAGCTGCTCGTTCAGCGGCTGTATGGACATTTCCAGTTTCTGCAGCTGTTTGTTCTTGTCCAGGTAGGTGCTCTGCAGCAAGTTGAGCTCGGCGAGCTTCTCGTTGGTGTCCACCGTCAGCTTAGAGGCGCGCTGCAGCAAAAGCTTGGCGCGCTCTCGCGCATGCTCCGATCGATTGGCGCGATCCGTGAGCGTTTGATTGGTGGCACTTGTGGAGAACTGCAGATTGCTGGCCTCGCCACGTGCCCCGATCGCATCCTGCTTGACACGATTCGCCTGCTCGGTTATCTGCTGGGCATCCATTTCGTTTTTCAGTATATTCTTCTGCAGATTCTGCACCTTGAGGGCCAAATTCTCGACCTGCTGTGCGGTTTTATTTGCTGGCGATTCGGCCTCCTTGGTCTCCAGATCAATTTGCTGGAGATCCTCGTCGGCGAGCTCAATGTTGCTATTTGCCTGCTGTATGGCGTTCTGTGCCTTGCCTTGGGACTCACTGGCTGCCTCCAGATTCTCGACCACCAAATTGGCCTCCTTCAGGATTTCATTGGCTGTCGCTTTGGTGTTATTGGCCGTGGTCTGTAAATCGTTGACGTTATTCAGATCGGGTCGTGTTTTGTATATGATCGCCTCGACATTCTTCAGCGAGGAGACAGCATCGTTGATCTTCACGCCCAGCGATTCGATCTCTTTGGGATCGAGCGTCAGGTCCAGCTGCAGCGTGTCCTGTGCCAATTGCTTGCTCTCGGAAGGTAATGCCGTTTTATTCTGCAAAAAGTCATTGACCTCTTCGAATAGCTTGACGGCCAACTTGATGCTCTCATCGGTTTGGTTTAGATATTTTTCCGACTTCATAAATCCAAGCTGGGCCTTTTGATATGCCTCCGAGGCATTCAGTTTGGCCTGGGTCAGAGCGCGAATGGTCTGATCCGCTGCATCCTTTTTGCTAGTTATGGCCGCCTCCGTGTTCTTGGCCAACTTGAGAGCTTCCTCGGAATGGGCACGTGCGCCATTCTCGCAGGAGAGGAAACCGCCGCATTTGCCGCATCCAGCACCGCCGCAGAGGTTGTCGCAGGGATCACCCGGCTTGCCGCACACCTGATTGTTGAGATCCGGAATTTGGGCGGTCAAGGCACTCAGCTCTGCACGATAATCGGCTATGGTCTTATCATTATTCGCTATGGCATCGGTCTCGTCCTTAATTTTGTTGCTCAGTGTCTCGACGCGCTTGCAGTTGCGCTCCGTGTTGGATGCCAGCTCCTTTGCCTCATCCTTGAGAGCGGCCAGGCTGCTGACGCGCTGGTAAGCATGTCGGGTTAGATTCAGAGCGCCCTCAATGTTGGACTCCTGCAGCTGAATGCCGTTCTCTTTGAGGTCACGTGACAGCTGCTGCACGAGACGCGAGTGATTCTGCAGACCTTCCAGCTCCACGGCGGACACACTGAGCGAGTTGTAAATCTCGTCCAGCTTAACTTCCGTGTCGCTTAGTTTCTGATGGGAGTTGACAAGCTTCTGCTTCAAGGTCTGGGCAGCCGCATCCAATTGATCAATATCCTGTAGACTGACCGAGGTGTTCTGCAACAGATCCCGTATGTGCTGGAGCTTCTTGTCCAACTCACTGAACTCGGTGGTGTAGGCGCCCGTTGCGCCCACCTGTTTGATCTCCTTGGCACGCTGTATGGTTGCCTGCGTGGCCTCATCTAAAGCCTTCAGTATGATGTCCCAGTTGTTGAAGCATTCGCCGCATGGAGCGCAATGCGGGAACTGACCCAGATAGCCGCGGGCACACTCATTGCACTTGTAGCCGCCGATGCCCTCGTGACACACACATTGACCTGTCTCCCGATCGCACTGGTAGTCGGCAGAGCCAAATTGATCGCAATCACAGGGCTGGCACTTCTCGTTGGGATTTCCCCAGAAGTGCGCCTGGCACTGATTGCACGCCCGTCCGCCAAAGCCGGGCTTACACTCGCACTGGCCGGTGAAGCTGTGGCACTGTTCTTGCACGGCGCCAATGGCATCACAATTGCATGGCTCGCAGCCCTCGCCAGAGCCGATCTTCCAGTGATTGACAGCGCACTCATTGCACAACAGTCCCTGGACATTGGGCAGGCAGGGACACTGGCCGGTGAAGCGGTCGCAGTGCGCCAGAGTCTTGTTGGTGCCCAGGAAATCGCATTCACAGGGTCGGCAATTCTGCTGCAGTGCATCGCCGTGGTAGCCATCGCGGCAGAGCTCACAATGCTCGCCCGTCGTATCGTACAAGCACTTGAGGCAGGCGCCTGTCTGGCGATCGCAGTTGCCCGTCTCGTAGGGATCGATATTGTTGCTGCAGTCGCACTTGGAGCAGCTGCCACCCGACTCCGGATTGCCAAAGTAATTGTCAGCGCAAATCTCACAGCGCGCGCCCGCATAGCCTTCCTGGCAGTTGCACAGCATGTTGTTGTTGCGCGTGTCCAGGGAGCAGCCATCGGCATGCGACATGCCACTGGCCATGGTGTCCGGACAGCGGCAGGCACGGCAGCCGATCTCGCTGCCCAGCAACGGATCACCGTAGTAGCCGTCCAAGCAGGTGTCGCAGTTGAAGCCATCTGTCGAGTCCTGGCAATTGATGCATTGTCCAGTCAGCGGATCACACACGGACGCATGCCCGTTGCATTCGCAGACGCGGCAAGCGGGGAAGTTCCAATAGCCCGGCTGGCACTGATTGCACTCGCGTCCATAGGTGTTCGGATGGCAGGCGCACTGGCCCGTCAGCAGATCGCAGTTGTTGTCCTTGCTGCCAATGCTGTTGCAGTCGCACGACTTACAGCCCTCCGGCCCAAAGCCGTAGGTGCCCGGGGCGCACTGATCGCACTGCCTGCCCACCACGTTCGGCTTGCACTGGCAGAAGCCGCCGTTGGCGTCGCACACCTTGCTCAGCGAGCCGGTGGGATTGCAGTTGCACATGCTGGCGCCGTCATAGATGTACGTGCTCACGTCCTGCTCCAGGTCGCGGCATATGGCCGAGGTGTGATCCTTGTAGCGCATGTCGTACAGCGATTGATTACAGTTCATGTTGATGTATTCGCGCAGGCGCAGATCCGCCACGGGCGAGCCATGGAAGATGGGCGTCACCTCGATGCGTGGTATCAGGGTCAGCGAGTCCACCAAAATGGTGGCCGTGGGATTGTCCTCGTTGTGGCGCCGGTGCTCAAACAAAATACGGAACTTATACACCTTGCCCGCCTCCAGGCAGACGTCGTGCAGGGCAACCACCTGGCGATCGCGCTCGGGCAATGTGAATGGCACACGGGCCTCGGTTATGGGCGACTGGATGGCCTGAGCGCATTCGCCCTGGGGATCGATCTCATCGGGACGCACCAGCGTGATGAAGGCATCCTCCCAGTCGTTGCGGGACGTGGACTGATAGCGGATGAGGACATCGTAAGGCATCGAGCGTGGAATATCGTCCACCGTGATGATCATCTCGGAGTTCTCTGGCACTCGCGCAAAGCCATTGCCTGTAAAGTCGGGGGCGTGGTCCGAGGGTGGCGCCTGTAGCACATTGCTGCAGCTGCCATTGTTGCTATAGGTGATGCACATGTCAGCCACCTCGGCATCGTGCACAACATGCAGATCGGGTATATAGTAGTTCTGCTTGGGCTGCGAGCAAGTGCGTCCGGTCATGTGGGAGCGGCAGCGGCACTGACCCGTCAATACATCGCAGTAGTTGTCATAGGAGCCGCCCGTATCGCAATTGCACAGCGTGCAGCCATCCTCAGATTCGGAGAGGCCAAACGTTTCCGGTTGACATTGATTGCAATCCTTGCCGGTGACCAGGCGCTTGCACTGACACTCCCCGGTGTGCATATTACAGCCGGAATTGTTGACAGTGCCCAGTGTATTGCATGTGCATTCCTCACAGCCCTCGGGATTATTGGGATCCAGATTCCAGAAGCCATCCTTGCACCTATCGCAGCGACGTCCCTTCACATTCTTCTTGCAATGACAGGCCCCAGCCTCGATACCGTTCTCTGGATCGTTGACCGAATCGCAAATACCCTCGTCCAAAGAACCGATGGGATCACAATCGCACGGTCTGCACACATTGGGGCTGCTCAGCGGCTCGGCTGGATCGCGATAGAAGAACGCCATGCACTCCTCACAGTGCTGACCCTGCGTATTGTGCAGGCAATTGTCACAGAAGCCGCCCGACACATGACCCGAGGCCACGAACATCGCCTCATCGAAATGACAGCTGACGGCATGTCCATTGCATTCGCATTTCTTGCACGCATTCGTCTGCTTGCCAAAGGCCGGCTTCCAGGGCAGATCGTTGTAGAAGTCCTCGCAGGTCTCACAGTTTAGACCCTTTGTGTTGTGGGTGCACTCGCAGCGTCCGTGCACCATCTCATAGTCATTGGTAATCACATCGTCCAATGGCAAACACTGTGAGGCATGGCCGTAGCAGGAGCAGGAGCCACGCACCACCATGTTCGAGATGCCGTAGTAGTATTTCTCCTCGTTCTCCAGACGATTGTCGAGCAGATTGTCGCCCAGTTTGTGCAGCTTGGTCATCTGGATGCGCAGATTCGTCATCTTCAGCTGATTCTGCACATGCTCCGCATACGGATCGGTCACATTAATGTTCGGCGGCAGCACACGGAAGATGACCTCGCCATTGCGCGACGGCTCCACAAAGGAGTAACGCGACGTGCACATCACATCGGTTATATTATGAAGTATGGTCGGCACACCCGGAAAGGATCCAGCGCAATCGTAGGCAAAATAACGGTACACATGCCACGTTTGGCCAAAGTCAAAGCTACGCTCAATGTACATAGCCGCCGGCCGGAACGTGGTGAAGGTGATGATCAAATGGGTGAAATGAAATTCCGCCTCCAAATCCAATTGCAATGTGACATTCTCTTTGCCATTCTCGGACTGCCACCAGGTGGGTATATTGGTGCCCGGTTTGGTCTTATAGATGATCTGTCCAATGCGATGATTCTTGTACGGATCGTTGCGTGTCTCATCCCGCGAGTCGCACAGGAAACACTTTTTGTCCTCCAAGTGGGATAGGATACAGAAACGTTCCGGCTGTTTCAAACCGCACGTGGAACTGGCCGTCAAACGATTCTCGCGTCCAATCAAAAGATTTCCCGTTGCCGGATAGCAAGAGGAACGCTCACACGGATGCGTTTTCACATATTGCCGTGGCGGATTGCGCGGGCGATCGCGACGTCCGTGCGGCGGCTGCGACTGTGGCAAACGCTGCGCCTCCAGCTGCTGGAGTACGGCGAGCACAACGAAAAGCGCGATAAGGCCGCTGCGCAGCGACATCGCTTATGCTCGCTAGATCTTGCTCGATCTCTTTCCCTCTCCCTCTCACTCGCTGTCGCTCACGCTCTCTCGTTGAGCGCTTGTCTCGCTCGTTGGCTTCGTCTGCCTTCGGGGCTTGGGGTCGTGTTCCACTAGAGCGCTTCCGGCTCCGTTTCTTAATCAGCTTTCGTTCGATTTCCTTTACAGAATGTAGACCACGTGGATAAGCTAAAGGAAGAATTTCTAATTCTGCTTATTATTTCATCTCGAGATATATGGGGATATCTGCATGCTTTTCATACTCACTCGTCCTTAACTTCCTTCCTATGAGTGCTGGGCACTCATTTTGCTTCGATTCTCTAGCTGCAGCTTATCTGTGCACTGAAAAGAAAAAACACAAAAAACAAAAAAATAGAATTTGAATTATTTCTTCTCAACTGCAATTCTTATCAATAGTTTCCCAACAGCTCTAATATTATTTATGTATATATAGTTTTTGTTGCTTGAACTCCTACATAAGTAGATTCGACCCCCGAAATGGAGAAGCGTCCGTACCCAACGACTTTTACGCACCAACTGAGCGCCAGCCAAAGTCTTCTCCAAGCTAAATGTGAATGAATCTGAGCATAAGTTCGACTTTAGGGCGATAAACAATATATGTATATATATTTATATGGCATATACATATACAATCCGTTGTTGCCTGGTGACTGGTGTTTATCAGCATTTAAGACATGTACTAAATGCTCAACCAAAGATGATGATTATTTTTAGACACAGCTGCCTCAAGTGTCGCACAGTGAAAACATTAAAAAGAGTTGTACTTGTTAGAGAGGGTACTGTATGCAAACATACATATATTACTATAGTATAACATACATATAGACATATGTATGTGTAGACACATATGAATATAATAATGCTTATGAGCTCATTAGCTCTGAATGTCTCTCTTTTGTAGAGCAATTATTGTTTAGAGCTTAAATTTGAGTACATTGGACATCTATCCATATCAAATTTAATGGATATTTAAAGTGGATTTTAAGAATTATTGGAGTTCAAATAGTTTTCGATTGCTCGATTACCCATTCTCCAAATAATTGACAGGCAAGGCAATATGTTTATAAAGAGAAAAATTATCTTGATTTTTATTAAATGTATAAGAATCAAGTATAAATTAGTTTATTATTAAAATATATGATCAGATATATATTTTTATATATCTATATTTTTATTGAATATACTCTAAACTAGATCTAATATGCAAATTTATATAAACATATAAATATACATAAATTCATAATAAATCTTTTATTATATTAATGACTGCTCTATTTGAATAGAGCTCGAAATAATTACTTTTATAATTATAATTTTATATTTCTTATTATCAATTTTTAATCGTTATAAAGTTTGTTTAGAATGTCTTATGTTCTATATAAAACTATTGCTCTAAATATATATTTTACACTTGTTTGAAATTGTATTTCATTTCAGTCCTATTGAATCTGGGTCTATATTCTTATCAGCCAAGTTCCATGTTTTCTTTGGACACGCAACTAAATTAAATAGAAACTGTGCTAAAGACTCGACAGCAGCAGCGCAGCAGAAGCAGCGGCGGCGGCAGCGGCAACAGCTCGAGATAAGCTGGCATAAGTCAAACACTTGTGCCTTTGATGTGGTCATTGATATGGATTGGGATGAAATCAACTCGAGGCAAGACAAGCACTCGCTCTGTTGTCCTCTCTCTCGATCTCACTCCCACACCCATACTTCGTCTCTCCCTCTCTCTCTGTCTTCTTCTCCCACACTCTCTAGTATTTTTAAAAAGAGCCTGCACAACTTTTTTGTAATTTCGAATGCGACATGGAACCGATAAGAGTTCATTCACAGATGCCTGAACTATTGTATACTATATGTTTATAGCACTGCCACTGTCTGGAGTGAGTGTGTGGGAATGTGTGAGTGTGTGTAAGCGTGCGTATGAGTGCTATGCTTAGACCATTAGCGGATTCTATACACTAAGAAGTGGATAACATAAATATGGCTTTGATTGTGTAACATAAATGAATGAAGCTTTGGCGTATCGTTTACATTAGTTATATAATTTTAATTAGTTTTATAATTTTTATGTAACTCCTTAACAACTATATGGTTTTAATTTATAAAAATTAATACAGTTTTTTTAATATTTATATACATATTTACATATTTTTGTTGGTTTGAGAGACTCCAAATAAAGGTTACATCAACACTCAGATATTTATATATGTTAGGTTTTTGGTATTTAGAGACCTGGATAAAGGTTTCTCGTATTAAGCATATTTTACTGAGTCCTATAACGTTGGAGGGAAAAATTAAAAATCAATAAGGCTTACAAAAGCAATTTGCTTAAATAAGCCAATGTCTCGAACCTTAACTAACTTGACAATTATAGATGATCATTCAGCATTTTAAGTAAAGCTTATATCATAAAGTAGATAACTGCCCAGGCATATATAAGTATTTCTCGTATCTTCAAATCATTCGATTTGCACAAAAAAAAAAAAAAAAACACTTCTATAATAAGAAACCCCCGCCCTGACCTTTTCTGCATCAATTTTTGCATAGCTTTACCCCTATTCAGATAACACAGTTGATTTCAGTGTATCTGATAAACAGTAAATTCAACTTTCCTGTTGCCCGCCTTTAATTGCTGAAAGAATCTTTTATTTTTTGCTCTTTTGCCTTTCTGTTAATTTCAGTTTCGTTTGGGGCGCAACACAAAAAGCACAAAAAGCAGACTGGAAAATAAACAAATAATCAAGGAACTAAACAAAACGTTAATTTACCAAACACACACATATACAGAGATACACACATATACAATGATGCACAGAGATAAATTCTGTGAGATGTGCTTGTGTTTGTTTATGAACTGGTATTGAATAAACATAAGTCCGGCATAAGGCAGAATGAAATGATAGAGCTAGAATTACCCTGTAGTTTTTTTCTGGTAGGGGCGTGGCAGTTAGGGAGATACTATTATATCTGATATAACAGATTTGATAGAGGCTTGACATTTTATACATATACATATAAATATATAGTGAATATATATGTCCTTTAGAAACTTGTTTTGGAGCTAGCGCCCCAATATTTTACAATTCTTTCCCTCTTGAGATCTAACAAACATTATTGGAATATTGACGAGTATGCTGAATGTAATATTTTTATTATATCAAAGCTATTTATTAAGTATTTAATAGCATTCCCAAGAGATCTGTAGCTAAGATATTTGAAGAACTAAATATCATAATCATCAAAGAGCATATATGTTTTTTTTTGCTGATGGGTGAAAACAAATCACACAGAATTGTCATCTTAAATATATTCCTGGAATTAAATGAAATAAAACATAAAACAACCATTGCACAAAATATTCAGTGAGTCCCAAAGTGAAGCAGAAAACGTTCCAAATTTTACTTCAAATTACTGTTTGCTTTGTCTATAGCTGTCATATTGTACAATATATATATATATACATATATATCTACAATTGTATGTATCGACAAGCTCATAAAATTTTGCTTATCTGAATGTTTGCTTAGCTTTGCCATGTTTATATTTTCAATTCCATCAGAACGCGCTGCTTATTGACCACACATCCTCAGCTGGCTGGAAATGTTTCTACTTATGGAGAACATGTGTGGAACCTTGCCTCACTCCCTCTCCCTCTCTCTAACGCTGTTTCTCTCTCCATCTGCCAACCCAAATGTAAAATGAGATCATGCATGCGACGGCAAAACTATTATTAGGCCTGAACTAAGTCCTGCCCACATACAGATATACACATATATATATATATATTTATATATATAGAAATGCACTGTTATTTAACTATATCTTTCCTGTACAGATTGGCCTGACTTAAGCTAAGTTTAATTAATAACCTCGTTGCAATTTGCTTAGCTTTTAATGTGCTATTCCTTGCCTAGCGCAAAATGCATTGCATATATGTGCACACAGACACGTACACACAAATGTACATATGAACATTAAAAAATATGCGAGGGTGGCTCAATGAGTATGTCAACGAAAGGCATCTAGTCTACACTCAGTGTATTACGTTCTAAGGGAAATGAAAGCTTAAGCTTGTTTTAAAAAAAATCTTATATTACTAATTTTCGATCGGATTTTTCTGTGTAAGATTTTTTTTGTTTTGTTTTTGTTGAACTATTTATAAGATAACTTTTAATTTTTCTGCATAAGCATTTTTGTCAACACAGATATATACATATTTATAGAAGGAAAGTTTTATTTGCTGCATACGATTTTGGGGATTTTTTGATATGCATATATGTACATATATATTTTTTTAGAATTCTATTATAAATAAGTGTTTTAGAAATATATTACCTATTACTATTGCGTTTCTGAAAAAACACACACACAAATTGTTTAAGCATGCAAAGCCAGATACTAAAACAGCTTGAACTACCCTCGCCAGCTATGTGCATACTATATGCAAGGCAAGACATTCTCAAATGGATTTGGGTATGAGGCATCATGTTACAAGTCGCTTATAATCCGAAAGAATTTATGTGCTTTACATTGTAAACTTTTGCTGTGACAAATAAAATAAATATATGTGTACATATTTTTTTGGAGTACAAATCTCAGCCTAGCGATTACTCTTGCAGTAAAAAACACACGCACACACACACACACACACACACGAGAGCAGCGAGAGTAGCAGCGGATGCAGAGAAGTAGAAGACGAAAGCAGAAAAAAAGAAGTAACAACAAACGGAACATAACAGATAAACGCAGGCAGCAACAACAACAACAACAATAACAGCTGCGTACTTCAAAGTTCGTACAACTTAAAAATTGGTATATGAATTTACAGTTAAATAGTGTAGAACAATTAAACACGTTTAGGTCACTTACCAGGGTATGGCACAGCTCCCACTCCAATTCCTTGCACTTTTAATACATTTTCTGTTATACACAAGAAAACAACAAACACTACACAATTTTTGTTGTTGTTGTTGTTGCTGGTGGTGCTGCCACAGCAAACACTTTTCAACTTCTTTTTATAAACTTAAAGGGAGCACACAAACACATGCACACATGCACAAGAAGAAGATATTTTCCAAGACAATCAGAGGACGGCGAAAGAAAAACCGGCACTACCGAAAAACCCGTCCGTTCACCAATGATCCACACTCGTTACTGAGCGAGCGGTTTGTTATGCGGCCTGCCAAGCGTATGGTAGATACTTTTGAGCGAGAGCTCAAGAGCGATCGCATGTATAAGAGTATACGACGGCGCAGAGATGAAGTCATAAAGTAGCCCATACACTCTACAATCTGTCTGTACCTGCCGAACTGAAGTACGTGATTGCAGGTAGGTAATGTGCTACGACTTGTACCAAAATCTATATATGGAGTTTAATGTATCTAAAGTATATTAAGCTAATAAGTTAATATAATGGAATTTAATTAATTCTATACCTTTTAACAACTTCAGAAATTACTATGTATGTAATTGAAGAAAGGATAATAAATTTTGGTACACTTCAATTTCCACTCAACCGAAGTCAACATGCTCAATGCAACAAGTACACGAATATTCACTCAAGTAACACAATTGAACTGCTATAAACATAAACACTCAACGTGAGCATAGGACACTAAGCATAGGACACTAACTCTCTCTCTCTCTCTCAATTAACTGCATGTGTTGGAGAGCGAAAGAGTTTTGTGCCCGATGCACAATCAGTATGCTTATCTGGCAATTCATAACATTTATACATTGTATATACATCAAATTTAGTAATTTTATATGTGTTTGTAGTACAATTTATTATTGTATTAATTTATTTCCTTGAATATGTTTTACTGAAACTCACTTTAGTTTTACTACACATCTATAAAATATGTTTCTTAATTTGAATTTAACTGCTATTAAAACTAAAAGGACTGAAACATATTTAAAATGATTGGCAACGCTGACGTATAAAAGCGTTGGCAATGCCAATTTTAGCAGCCCTGCCAACAAGAGAGAACGACAGTAAACTTGTAATAGAGCATTAGTATTGGTGAATTTATTAGCGCCAAGCGGGGTGTATGCGGCACTCAACACAGAGACTATACGAAAGAGAGAGCAAAATGCAACGGAAAAAGCGCCAACGCCGCAACGAGTTGTCAGTTCACTTTTGGAGCTCATACCGAGCAGTCGATCGCAAACGAACTCGAGCGCTAGTAGCACTCTCCCCAAGAGATCGTTACGATTTTTGAAAACATAAAAAGTGAAAAGAAACAGTCGTCAAATCAAAAATTAAATATGTTTTAGCCTGGGCAGCAAATCTACAAAATTATATGTGTTACGTTTGTCATCAAAATTCTTTATAGCTCCCCCACATTCAAAACGCGTTAAAATAGTTAAAAAAAAAAAAAAAAAAAAAAAAATCGTGCGGTGCTGTGTTATGCGGAGTCCATTTTTTGTTATAGCCAAAATTTCTAGTTTTATGGTGTGCTTACGGTCGCTGTTGCTGTTGCCCCATTCCGTTGTGCATATCTCTACATAAGCACCCAGCAATATTTAGGTGAGTCCGCAGCGCTACATACGTACATAAGTAGATATATTTGAACCTGGCTGCCAACTGTGCAACTGTTACAAGTTGCCCCGCCGCCCAGCTAATATCACAAATATAGTCCAGTACGACTACGAATATACCCCCAAAAATTGATTACGCAGTACACATAGCATTCAGAGCGACATTTGCTACTTCTTCTTCTTCGATATTTCGCGTTTAGTTTCATTTTGTGTTGGACGAAGAAAAATGCGTTGGTTGCTTTTATTAATACTACACCAACACACATACACACATGCATACACATGCAGAAGCAGCTAAATGAACAAGTGTAAATGAATGAGAGCGGGAGAATAAGTCGTATCAGCTTTTAAGCAATTGAGAGAGGCAGCGCGGGCGAGAGCGAAAGAGAGAATCCGGCATGCGCAGTGGTGGGCAATAGTAAGCGTTGTGGGAGCAGTGGAGCCATTGGAGAAGCTGTTGCTATTGCTGTTGTAGTTGTGAATTGCTTTCTGTTTGGTTCTGTGTGCGCGTTAGTGTGTGTGTATATGTGCTATGTGCGCGGCAAAAATCTCTGCCTCGGCCTCGGCGTTTATTCATTTATTTATTTTTTTTTTTAATAAAAACTGACAACTAACTGTGAAGCGCCGCTGCCGAACATCGCGATTCATTTTACGTTGACAACAGAGAGTGGCTTTTATTTTGATGTTGTTGTATGTAGTTTGCTATTGTCGCTAGCAGGTGACGTCATTTGACAGTTCTATATTTAAAAAAAAAAAAAAACAAAAACAACAACATTGTTTTAAATGCTTATTGTTAGTGCAGCTTAGTCCTAACTAACAAAGCCAATGAATGCAAGTGTATGCCTGAGTTTTGCTCGCCCCTTTTCAATGTTTACATGCCGCGACCGCCGATAAGCGCTACATCTCTCTGTGTGTGTGTGTGTGAGTACATATATGCATATGTACATACATATGAGTATGTTTGTGATTGTTCTTTCTTCTTTTTACTGATATGATTTGTTGTCGTCACGTGGAGTGCTGTATACATTTGTGTGCATGCAAGTATATAGACATGTATGTATGTATTTGTACTTTTTCATGTGTTTGTTTTGGCGCGTTGGAATTTCAGAGCGAAGCATACGCTCTTTTGTAAACTTTACATTGAAAGCTACTAATTTCCGTTAGAAGTTTTTCACTTACCAACACTGCGCAATTTGTTTGTTGAGATCCATGTTTTCATGGATGTAAGGGTGTATATATGTATGTATTTGTAGGCATATACAAATATGATGATATTAATTTGATATATAATAACAAATTTGAACAGATAAGAATTATTAAAAAAATATCGAAAATAGACTATGTATATCTAGTAATATTGATGGTGATATCATCAAATCAGCAGATGATTTATTATATTGCAATATAAAATACTATTATAAAAAGTTTATTATGGATTTTAATTAAAAAGATAATATAATAATAATAGTAGAAATTTGATATCATACAAACTTAAGCCCTTAAAATACCTTGTACGAATATAATCAATAATTCTTGCAATGCAAAATAATGTATATAACTTAGGTAGGCTATACTGTATGAATATATTGCACATATAGTTAGCTCATCAAGTCCCTGTATTTCTCTTCAGGCCATGACACACCTTTGAAACTATACGCTACTATTTTTATTTTCATATCCGAACTACATAAATTGTCTGCTGTTATGTCTTATATAGAGCCAACTATACATATGGCTATCTATGCGCTGGCCCACCTGTGTTCGTAGTTTCTCACTTTAATTGCAATCTATCTTTAGCTCGAGCATTTGCCCCAACTCCTGTCCTGTCTGACTGCCTGACCTGGCATGCATTGAGGTTTCTGTTTTCTTGACTTTTAAACTTTAAATCCGGAAAAGGAAATGTAGGTCCCTTTACTATGAACGCTATGAACGAAAACAAAAAAATTCCCTAACGGCACGCCAACTGCTCTTTGGAGTAACTAAGCAAAAGGTTACAAATTTGCATAAAATCGAATGTTATTAAAGTGTTGGTTTTGTTGCGTCAGTGTGTATGTGTGTGCTGTGTGCTTATGTGTGTGTGCATGACGACATGGCAGGCTAACATCATAAACTTTGCTGTCCCACAATACCCGACCATCAGCCTTGCTTAAGGACTAAAAAAGGAGAACGTTTTAGTACCCAACTATCGTGTCAAGACTTTATGCCCCGAACTCATGTTTCATATGTTTATTGAAATTGTTTTGTTTTTCTGTCAGTAAAAGTTTCTTCATTCCGTCTTTATTGCTTTCCAATCGATATTTATATGAGCTTGTCGTACATCTTCGATATGCTGCAATGTTAAATCAAATTTATATTTTGAATACCCTTCTTTTTTGTAGAGAGTGAAGAGAGTATTACAATTATGATATGACACACAACATTTTTCTAAGAATTACTATGGATATATAATGAAATTTTAATAAGGAATTGAAAACCTTCGACTTTGAAATATATAAGGCGTTCGATATTACTTTAAATTGAATAGGTCCAATGTGTAAGCCATTTGTTTCTTATGATAATTAAGGAAATGTATGGGATACTGATACCCAATTTTAGCAGCTATAGACTTTACTATTGTAAACATTTGAAAAACATTTTTTGGATCCATTTTTAAAAGAAAAGCCGACTTTTGATTAATGATTGTGTATATAACACGTATAATATATAATATGCATTCAAATAAGCTAGCTGTTCTTTCGTGTACCGCCTATGATCGTTGGCGCATTTGAAAGTGATTCAGGAAATCCAAATTAGAATCCAATTGGCTAGCAAAAGTTGTCTTGACCAAATAAGCAGCTCTTTACTGATTTTATAAGGTACACTATTCATATAAAAATAATTCAATATCGTATATGTATGAATTATTAAATTTTGATTGCTTGACAAAGTATTCATTTAAAATTTAAATTTCGCATACATATTGCAATTTTGTTTTCTTTTTATACTCTTCACTATATATCATATCGTAAATTTTGTTTTCTAGGCAAGCGTATTTGATAGTCGTTGCTCTGTTATATATTTATAGTTTTTATTAGGATGCGGTTGTCGACAAATTTGTGTGTCATTTACGTGCCTTTTATGCATATCAATAAACTCATATCCAACACACAGCAGACACACACATTTCTATCTATATGTCTCAATGGAAAAGTGGGGCAAATAAGGAAAATGCGGCATCGTCGCAGACATTGTCCTCTTGGCTGCTAAGCAGGCCAATTCGTATAAAACGAATAAAACACACACATTCTTTTTTCATCAGTATTTCAATATAGGTTACGACTTATAGCTATACATATAGATGTAGATATAGATATATTTTAGCGGAAAACAGCATTTACTTTGTTCACTTAAGGCAAAGTTAGCTGGGTGGGCGATTTCACTGGCTTAAGATAAATAGCAAAAAAATAAATATAATAAAAGTTGTTGGGGACAAGCGGAAGTATTGTGGTGAGAATACAACGCGTGGGCATAGGTCTAAAAAAGGCGCTCTATAATTGAATCTTGTTTGCTGAATGAGATAGCTGAGGATGTATAGAGTTTAAATAGAACTTAACCAATTGGTTTTTCTTTGTCTTTTCAGTTTGCTCAAAATTCACATCCAAAATGCTGGAAGACGACAATTCAGATCTGTTGGTTTGTGCCACAGAGTTTAAAGAAGGTATTTAAAATTGAAAAATTTGATGTAAAGATATTTATTTGACCTATGTCTAATTCGCTTTCTTTGTACATTTTAGATCGCCTGTTCTTTGTGGTATTCAAGAAGAATATCAAGCCAAAGAATACGGCCAGCACTCATTACTTTAGCATAGACGATGAGTTTGTCTATGAGAATTTTTACAATGATTTCGGGCCACTCAATATATGCATACTGTATCGGTATTGCATGAAGCTCAACAGCAAACTGAGTGCCAAGAGTCACGCGAACAAGAAAATCGTGCACTACACCTCCATGAATCCGGCTAAGCGTCTCAACGCGGCCTACCTGATTGGTTCGTATGCAGTAAGTTTAACCTTTCCAATTTGGGTTGATGATATTTATAGTATAAATATATCACTTTAGTTTAACGCCTCTCAAGGCGTAAATTGAAATCTTGTTTAGAGAACATGCGCTGGCCTGTAACATATTATTATAATAATAACCTTACCAAACTCAGCAACTTTTGTAAAATTGTTTTAAACTGAACAAGTTAATTTTATGAAGAAAAGAACGTATGTCTAGTTATTTGATGTATATATTTGTAATAATACATGTATACTAATATAGTATATGGTACATCATAATCATCATTCAGTTTAGGCTCCTTATTCAGTATATGCAAGGGAACCAGATTTATATATAGAATTATAGTATATGTTCCAAGATTAATTACTCCATAAGTTAACGTTTCGTAATGACATCTATTATTTTTAGATAATTTACCTGAATAAATCGCCCGATGTGGCGTACAGATTGTTAGCGGGCCCAGAGGTGCCGGCATATACTCGCTTCTGCGATGCGAGCTATGGACCCAGCAGCTTTAAGATCTCGCTGCTCGACTGCCTCAATGCCATACATAAGAGCCTGCAGGCGGGCTTTCTTAACTTCAATGACTTTGATGCGGAAGAGTATGAGTACTTTGAGCGAGTGGAGAATGGGGATTTCAATTGGATAGTGCCGCAAAAGTTTATCGCCTTCTGTGGACCGCACCAGAAATCGAAAACTCTGCCTAATGGCTATCCGTGCCATGCGCCGGAGCGTTACTTCACCTACTTCAGGGACAACAATGTGACGACGGTGATTCGGCTAAATGCCAAAGTCTATCATGCATCATCATTCGAGAATGCTGGCTTCGAGCACAGGGACTTGTTCTTTATCGATGGTAGCACGCCTAGCGACACGATACTCAAGAAATTCTTGTCCATCTGCGAGACGACAAAGGGTGCCATTGCGGTGCACTGCAAGGCGGGCCTGGGACGTACCGGCAGCCTGATCGGTGCCTACATTATGAAGCATTACGGCTTCACGGCGCTGGAGGCGATTGCCTGGCTGCGCCTCTGTCGCCCCGGCTCCGTCATCGGTCATCAGCAGCAGTGGATGGAAGAGTAAAGATTGAAGAGCTTTCAAGTTGAATAAATTTGTTAATAATTGTTATTTTCTTGCAGCAAGCAGAGCTGGCTGTGGTCAGAGGGCGAGCGGATGCGTCGGCGCTTGGCTTTGCCGATTTTACAGCACAAGTATGGCATCTATAGCATTGAGCTGAAGGAGAAGTTGGCCAAAAACGAGTTGGAGGAGCAGAAGGCGCTGCCGTTGCCAGCATCGGATGCCTTCGAGCATGTCGACTTGTTGTTGACGCGGGTAAAGCGCATCTCACAGCGTGTGGACACAATGCACTTGCATGATCAGGACACCGTGGATGGGGGATGCGATCAAACGGATGAGGAGCTATCCGAACAGCAGCTGGAACTGCAAGAGCTGCACTATCATTCCACGGACGAGGCTAATTGCAATGCCAGCGATAATGATACGGATACGGCCAGTGCGCCCGCTGAGCAGACACTCGGCTCAAGCTACTCGATGTCGACGCGCCGGCGCAAATCGCCGTCGAATGCCAACAAGCCCACGGTAATTGCCAATTCGCTGCGTCGCCTGGTCAGTCCTGGAAGCATGCGTAACACAAGCAGTGGTAATAGCAGCTCCATTGCCAGCAGCCTGGAGCCGGCTGGCAGCTGCACGGAGAAGAAGCTGCGCAAACCAAGCAGCAATGTCTTTGAGGCAGCGCGTCATACAATTGCATCTTCCGTGCGCATGTCCCAGACGGCGCTCGAGAAGAAGCAGATGCAAACGCAGGGTGACAAGCTGAATCAGATCAAGGCGTTGCGACGGCATCATTCGCGGGCTGTGAACACCAACAACAGGTGGGTATTCGCTATACGAGTATATATATACACAGAGAGGTCTGCATGAGTGAAACCAAACCAATCACAACTCCAACTCCATCCAGTTCGAATGCATTCAATTTGACTTATGGATGTTGTGACTGGGCCATGCAGATCTCTAATATGTATACACACACAAATACATGTACATTTTGAAGACACATTATACTGAATACACAATATACTCTGTAATTTAACCGCAGTGATTCGGATCCAATCCAACGGCATACACGCGCACGTTCTCAGCCATTTCGCAACAACAACAATGTGGTGAATATGTCAACGTCACCGCCTTTGGCTCTTAAAGCCGTTAGTTGTTTGTCTTCGACAACAGCGGCCACTGCAACAGTAACAACAGCAACACCATCTACAACAGCAGCAACAACAACATCATCACATAACCTTAACAACAACAACAGCAACTTTAATGTAAACAACTCTTTGCATAACTGTAACAATAATAGCACTAACAACAACATCAACAACAACAATATGCAAACCAGTACGGCCAGCCGCACACGCAGTCTGGCCATCTACAGCAAAAGGTAAGTGCCCAGCGATCGTCCCCCACCAGTAGAAAACCGACCCTTCCGACACACACACACACAGACAGCGCTACACAATACACACACACATACATACTTTTGATTTTGAAGCTCGAACTGTGCAGCGGCTTTTTGTATTCTCGTCTAGTATTTTTTTTTTTTTTGCATTTTTTAATCCCGTCTTGTTTTTTTGGTGTCTTCGTTCGCTTTGCACCTTTTGCCAAGATTGTATATAAGTTTTTAGTATAGTTTTAATTGTACGTCCCATTCGCTAACCGTTATTATTGCACACATACACGAAGCTGGTGTGAGAGTGAATTTGTTTTCGATAAGTTGTTATCGATAGCTTTCGCTATGCCGGCTAGTTAATAAATTCGTTAACAAACACTAATTTTACCAATAATTCTCTTTTATGTTTGATTTATTGAATTTTTGAGTATGTACTTACATTTGTTGTTTATTATTCTTTCCTTCAATTAATTAGTCTTACAATTTGTTTGTGCATGCAAAAATTTACAAAATAAAAAAACAAATCAAAATCAAAATTTATTGAGCTTGCGATAATTTTTTTGGATATATACGAATTTTCTTTTTGTTTTTGTTTAACGTTTGGCGATTATGTTTTTGTTGCTGCTTGGCATATTTTGTATACTGTTTTTTGGCTCCTGCGTACTGATTAAGATTATGCTGCGTATCTTCTACAACAAATAAATCTTTCTCTATTGTCTCTCGTGCTTGGCTGTGGGCTCACAATCTTTCGTTCCCCTTTATTCCTCGCCCTTTTCCCCCGCCTGCTCCGTCCAAAACTGACAGAATGGAATTGAAGCACCTGCGCAATGCGGAACAGGAACAACAGCCCGCTGCTGTGCTCGATAAGCAATTGAAATCCTATGCAACGATCAACGAAAGTAAGATACCCATCGGTGTCGGTGGTGTGGGTGGTGTTGGTGGTGCTGGCAGCTCGGCAACCATACCGCCGGTACGCAGCAGCTTGACGCGCAGCTCGCTTCATCATATGACGCTTAGGGGTCGCTCACGCATACGCTATCAACGGCCGGGGCAAGTGGCTTGCGGTGCAACCGAAGAGCAGACGGCACAAGCGTGCACGATGGCAACCGCTCGTTATTATCGTGATGTGTCCGCGATACCAGCAACGACACTGGTCACTGCTGCATGTGGCAGCGGCATCACCAGTGGTTGTTGCACTGTAGCGATGCGTTCCTCATCCGCTACGCTTGACCTTAACTCTAATCCGCTGCCAGCTGCTGCCTGCAACAACACAACGACTGCAAATGCAGCAGCAACAGCTACAACAACAACAATAGCAACAACTACAACAACATCCAAGTCAAAGATACCCAACAACAACAACAACAATAGCAACAACAACAACAACAACAGCAACAGCAATAGCAATTTGAGTAATTCGCATTCTTCTACACCTCCCCCAGACACAAGCCGTCTTAGCATGTTGGCCAGCATGAACAGTGGCAATGGACGTACCAGCGACGAGCAGCCAGCCAACAGCAAAGATCATCAACAGCAACAGCAGCAGCATTTGGGTGGCAGCAAACGGAACAAGCGTTCGCTTAGCTCCACACGCATCGAGAAGGACAAATGCGATGAGTATAATACGAAATTGCTGCGCAAAACGAGTGTAGCAGCTGCAGCTGCGGCAGCAACAGCAGCAGCAGCAGCAGCAGCAGCCGCCGCCACTTCAACAATGAGTAAAAGCAACAATAACACCAACAGCAACAACAATAATACTAATAGTAATCATAATCTAAATAGTAATAATAATAATAACAATAGCGGCAGCAGCAGCAAGTACAACAGCAATAGCGGTACACCGACGGCCAGCCTTGGAGGTGGCAGTTTCAGGCTGTCGCGTCGAATCTTTGCTGAATCAGGTTCATCAGCCTCAACCTCGGCCTCCAACTCTGGCATACCGACACCGACGCAGCCGCCAACGTTGCCCTGGCAGCAGCATCATCCTCATCATCCGCGTGTATCCAGTCGCCTGACCACGGAGCGTGAGCAACAGCAGCATCTAAAGCTGCGCAAGAAGATTAGCTACTAAATGGCATAGCCGCAGCTAACTGCAGCAGCTGCTGCAATTGTTATTGTTAATACCTATTTTGTAAAGCAAATTTTTTAGTATTAATAGTAAAATTTACACATTCGAGACCCACACAACTCAATAGCTTGGCTTGGGCTTGGTTGATGTTTTTGCTATTCTCTTTTTTTTTTTATATACAACATTTGGTTGCAAGAGGAACGAATCCGTAGGAGTTGGTGAAACCGATTAGAAAATCTCTTCAATTATATTATATCTTATACGTAATTTCTTGGAACATGTTTAATTTATTTATTTAAGCTCTACGCCCAATTGCTGGCTGAAATGAGTTCAGATATTTTCTAATACAAATACAATGGTTCATTGTCTAATATATTTAATTAATTTGTTTGCTCTTTGCTTATATAAAAGTTGATCAGCAACTCATTTACAACAAAATAGATTTAGATTTCGATACACATACATTAAAGATTAGCTTGAACTTTCGAATCCAGCAATGAACATGAGTGTTATTCGAGAAGTGCATTGGGTTAAATGTTATTTGATTATATATAAATATATAACAAATATTTCAAATACTGAAAGTTAAACACTTTATTTGCAAAAGAAAATCTTGTTAAATTTATATTCTTTATATTATTTGGAACAAGCTCCTAATTTTGTTAGAAATTTTTTTTTAATATATCTTCTCTTTGACTGCAGGGTAACTTACAGTTTGGGATTCTCAGAATTTGTAAATTTTTTCCTTTTTTTTCATTCATTTACATATTGGGGAAGTAGCCAGAATTTAAAAAGCAGTAATTTCGTATTTGCTGAACAAAGTTCAACTTATTAGTTATATATTATTGTTTTTGAAAAATAAAACAAAAACCGGCTTCATTCCTTGGGCCAAATTGTTGTGCAACGTTAACAAAAACAAAAAGAATTGTACACGACGACCTTAACAGAACTATCGCTTTTATAATCGAAGAACATATATATGTATTGTATTTTTATTACAAAATGTACAAAGTATATAAGCATAGATATTAATTTACAACTATGCATATATATATTTATATACATACATATATAATCATGTGCATTATTTCAAGTGTATATAACACGTTTAATTAGTTTTTAAGTATTAGTTGAAATATATGTTAAATATATGTAAACAGAAACAACGGCATTTTTGGAACTCGTCCTCTCTTTTCAGTCTAGACTAGCATAATACGAAAATATTCTATGATTTCATTGTAGATCTTGCTCTCCAGCCCCACAAACACGCAATCGTATTCGCACTTCAATTCGATCTGTAGCAGAGGCTCAACCGACTTGCCCTCGAGGGTGGTGATGCATGGCTTAAGTTTAAGTGCTTCGAGCACGGCTATCAGTTTATATTTGCTGGAAGTGTGGCTATCAGAGTTGATCTCCTTAAATGCGGCCTCTTTTAAGTGTGGATAGAAGGACTTAAAGTAATTGTGACGATCGCAGAGCTTGATGGAATGATTTTCTTCGCCGCCGGCATCGGTTAGCTCCCGATATGTTTTGAATTTGCGCCGACGTTCGTTCTCTTCATCCTCTATGCTGCTATCCAGATCAGTGTTGCCAGTCGTCTTAGTGGAGACCACCTGATTATCTGCAGACACTTGATCCAAATCGTTCGATATAACGCACAGCATTTCAATGGCCGCACGCTGGCGTGCATCCTTCTTTTTATCAGATTTGCCGTAACGTTTGATGGACGCCACCGAGCAGCAGGCCACAAACTCTGGAGCATTTGGTGATCCGCTTTGCTGGACGATTTCGATGACAGGCAACGGCATATCATGACGGACACAATAATCGCGTAGCTCCTTCAGCATATCGCGATTCATATTTGTCAGCTCATCAGCCACGCTGTCGATATTGCAATTATCTTCACCATTATCTGTGCCATCGGTACCAAAGTGACTTAAGCCCGGAATTTTGCGTAATTTACGGATTATATTGGCGGCGGCCAAGTGCTTGGCATCACGCTTTGATCGCCCTGCAAAGTATAATATTCCAATATAAAGATAAAACACTTAAGAATTTGCCAAAGCGTTTACCATTGCCAAAGGCTTCAATATCCATTAGGACGACTTTACAGAGGTAACCAACATCAGCGCCATCAATATACTCATAAACGGGACTCCCGGTTTTCGCCTGGGCGCAATACTCTTGAAGCGCTGAAACTGCTGACTTGTTTTCCATGGGGTGTACAGATAGCGAAATCCAAATGTCATCAAATGCGTGCAAAGCTTTAAGTATTCACCTTTTAGGATTTCAATGTAAAATTGTTTAATATATAGTTTTAACAAGAATATTGAGTATGAAATTTGTTTGCAGTGTTGCCATATCATTCACTTTTTATAATGTACTAAACTTGCCATAATTTTTGCATTACTCTGATTTTGTATGTGCTCTAAGCTGGAATTGGAAACACATATGTTTTTATCAACTATAAACATACGTTTATATAAAATTTAAGTTGAGACAACATTGTCTTCGTTTATTTTAGATACACGTCATTTGGTTAATAGTGGCATCGCCAGCACTGTCAAAGCAACCCTGGGTACGTATTAAAACAAGTGTTGCTGTAGACGAAGGAACTTTGATTATTTATTTTGCTCAGCTCGGCTCTGCTCGGAAATTCGTTTCATAATCAACAGTTCACAATTCAATGCAAGGCGCCGCACAACGAAACACAGCAACAATTACGTTTTTCGTAGAACACCAATCAATATTTGTTATTAGCTAAATTTGTTGTTGAAAGAAAATCGTACCAGAGGGGAGAGAGTCAAAGGAAGTGACCGTGGAAGTCTATACAATACATAAATACATACAAACGAATAGAGGAAAATACGGTGTGCCCGCCCCTGCACTAACTAACTGCATACCCCAATTGTCGCCCAGCTGCTGCCCAACGCTGACGAATCACGAGCTCACAATAAAGTAACGGAGAAAAAAATAACACTTGTCGCTTGTTGCTCCATTTCGTATCGAGTGGGTCGTGCTTAGCAATTAGTAACGACGCAGAAAGTGATCTGGAAGGGTGAGGCTAAGTAACTATGGATGATACCACAGGCACAGCTACGCCGTCGCCGTCACCAGCGGCCACCACGGCCGCTGGCTACGATGCTGCCCGAGACAAAACAAATGAACCAGTTGCTGCTGCCGCTGCCGCCGCCGTCACAGCCAGCGGTATTAGGCTCTTGATTAAATCGTCGAATCAGCAATACGACGATGTGAATATCGAGAGTGATTTGTGCTGGACTGTGCAGAGACTCAAGAAGCAGCTATCCCTGGTGTATCCCGGCAAGCCGGTATGTGTACAACTACAAAACACACATTACTTATAAATATATATGGATGTGCGTGCATATATATGCATATCTATATATGTACATTTATTATAATCATTGACGTCAGCTTTATATAGGTCTATCTTATCAGCTGGCTGCGTCGCGCTGTCAAGTCTTTTGTTATTTGTTATTGTTTATCTTGTGCACGAGCGATAAATTTCTATTCGCTCTTTTGGAGTCAGTTGCGTCTCAATTGACGCTTTGCCCTCACGAAAGTACACGTCATTCATATTTTCTTTAATTGCCAACCACGACTTGATAAACTATATATACTATACCATATTAGTATATGTTTTACATATTATATATGTATATATTATAAAAGACTTGATAAACTATGTCTAATGGCAGTATATAGCGTCTGCTAGATTCGAAATATAATTTTGTTTTGATTGCATTTATTTCGCTTTGCTAATTTGTATAAGATAACGTTTTATTTATAAAGCGAAGATAAGTTGGCGGATGCCAACTTAATAATGGCGTGTAAATTGCGTATATATGTATATGTTTGTTTCGGCTTAAGCAACTGTTCTCATATATATAGATACATATATAGATTTATGAATATAATTTATTTATAACTATACTGTCAGGCAAGTCTTTAAGGTTTATGCAAATCGGTATAAATTGCTTGCGAATCAATATTGTTGAAATGATCTGGAAATGTTGACAAACAAATTTCTTTATTATATTCCCATATGTTAGATTTAACACTTGATCAGCTCATTCGGCGTCAAGTTTACAGTTACTCTATGTACAAAGATTGTGTAAATAGAAGTTCTGTTTAGTTCAAGTATAAATGAATGTTGGAAGCGTTTAAAATCATTATTATAAATATTATAAATTAATAAATAATAATTTTCTAAAAGAAATTCATTTTATAAGTTCATTGCGCGCAGTTTATCTTCTATTTATCAGCGCAAACAAGGTCAATGTCAAGCAAAACTGGGTCGCTCTCTTGAATATATCTACATATATTATACTGTTTGGTGCTCTTAAAAGGTAACCTTTTGGCATTAGATAAGCAGCTGTGGGCTGTGTCACTGAGCAACAATTTGAATAGCGCAAACAAATTATTTGAAATTCTGAAATTTCTAGATATTTCATTAAACTTTTTTTTTAGAAAATAATTAAACTGATAGCATTAACTACATACTAAATTCAGAAAACACCTCGTTATCAATTTTCTTGGCGTATAAAGACAGACAGGTGAAGGCTACACTCGAAAAGATAATACTGCTTTAAGTTAAATAATAATAATGCGTTAAGTTGAACATATGATAATAAATGGTAATAAAAACCAAAGCCACTAAAAATTGCACTTCACAATTTAATATATAAATATGTATGTATATGTATATATACATATATATTCCTTAAAGATAGCATAAAATAATCTAATTGAGAATATAAAAAAAAAAAAAAATAATAAAAAGTTATATATGCATATACATACATATTTTATATTATTTATATCTAATCTTAAGTGCCAATTGATATTGATTCTAATCTACTTCCTTTTCTTGCAGGAAATTAATGACCAAAAGCTCATCTATTCGGGTAAACTGCTGGACGATGCCCAAAAGCTGTCCGAGGTCATTCGCAGCTACAAGGATGTCTACCAGCAGCATCATATCTTTCATTTGGTGTGCGCTAACAAAAATGCAGCTGTCAAGGCCCCATATAAGACTACCACGCCTCCAAAGGCTGCTACGAGCACGGCACGCGTGGACACGACCAACAATCCGAATAACGACAATGAGCTAAGACAGCGCCATGTGGCAGCCGCTGCCGCCGCCGCCGCCGCTGCTGCTGCCACCCAGCATACGTATCAGCAGCCAAATCTACAGCAGGCAAACGATCCGCATCTCTGGTTCCAATTACACAATCAGGCTTACCAAATGGCCATGGGTCAGAATGCATCGACATCGGCAGCTGCTGTGGCTCCGGGAGCAGGAGCAGCATCCACGCCGTCATCGACATCGACATCGATAGTCCCAAATCCACAGTTGGCTTTCCAGCAGCAGCAGGCGCTGCTTTATAATGCCTGGATCCAGCAGTGGTATGCGATGTACATGCAACAAACGATGCAACGGTGAGTTGATTGCATTGATTGCCTTTAGTATCCGTGGAACAAGTATATAAACTGCATATAGTGTACTTATATATATTCATGTCGGAAGCACATTATAATATTCATTATTTCTAGTATCTGTTGATCAGGTATATAAATTGCATATACTATACTTATATATATTCGTTTCGTTGGTCAATTATAATATTCATTGATTATAGTGTCTTTTGAGTATTTACAGATTTGTTGGTATTCGAGAACATACATACATGTAATGTTAGCTTTACTTTTATAACTCTTAATAAAGGCTTATTCATTAGGTCCCTTTCAATTACAATCGATTATAATAATTGTAATAGAGGGTATAATACAAAATACCACAAATTAGAGTTCAGATAATTGCAACGATTGAAAATGATTGATTTTGCTATTCTATATGTAACTTGCCTATAGATGTCTATCTATGAACTTGACATGGTTATATATATGTATAATATAGAGGTATATAATATATCTAGTTCACTATCATCTATGTTATATTGGATCAAATTAGAATTCAAATTCCAATCAAGTCCTGTTTAAGACGTTAGCAAGAGTTGGAAATATCAGAAATGTTATTACACGACATTTGTGTGTCGTTTGACTCAAATGGAAAGTAAGAATTTATCGATTTGTCTTATTGCAGCACCAGCAGCACAGGCGGCGTCGTTTCACCGGGAGTGCTGCCACCGTTTATGCAAACTATGCCAGGGTTTCATAACAATATGGGTGTGCCGCTTGTGGCACATCAACCGGTGCCGGTGGCAGCTGGCGCTGCGGCTGGACAGCCCAATGAGGAGGCCGCTGCACGAAGGGCGGCTGCACAGCCAGTCGATGGTCCCAATTTCCCCAATATACAGGAGGAGCCGGAGGTGCGCGATTGGTTGGATAGTTTCTTTAGCTTTACTCGGTTGGCCATTTTTGTAACAGTTTTATATTTCAATTCGTCGCCCATGCGTTGCTTAATGGTGGTGCTCATTGCAAGCGTGATTTATCTGTGAGTACAAATGTGGTTTGATAAGCAATCTGAGATTATTTACTAATTGATGTGTATTTTTATAGCTATCACATTGGCGTGCTGCGGCGTCGTCGTGAACGGAACAACAACAACATCAATCGAAACAACAATGCTGGCAATAATGTTGCCGCCTTTGCGGCTGTGCAAGAAATCCAACGAATGATGGACGCTGCCGTTGAGCAAGACAATAATCCACAGGCAGCTGATGCTGCGGCTGCCGCCGCTGATCAACCGAATGCAGCACCAGCGCCAGCTGCACCAGCTGCTGGACAAAATGATGCTGCGCAGCCAGCAGCCAGCGCTGCTGTTGGTGGGGATCAAGCCACGGATGCCGCTGCAGCTGCCGCTGAAGCCGTTGTCGTTGAGCCTGCGAATGCCAATACCTCTGTGATTTCTATTGTGCGCACCTTTGTCATAACGTTCTTCACGTCGCTATTGCCCGAGGCACCGGCGTTGTAAAGTTGAACGTATCTCTATTATATGTGGCCTCTTGGATATTTCTTTCCAATATTTCCTTTTTGCACCTCACTCCCCACAATTTTCCCCAACACATTTATAAATGTTATAATTTATGCATACCTGAACTTTTGCAATATCTGTTTTTCTAGCTACGTAATGAACTATATATATGTATGTATATTTATAATATGTCTGTGTGTGCATGTGAATCGCAAAATGGGCGTGATCCAGCGTATTCCGCACAGCAGCCAGCCCCCCACTTTATGCCCCCATGATGTAGCCTTAGTGTTTTTTATAGCGTTAAGAAATAAAATTTGTTTTTGATGTGAATGCTACGAAACTAGCTAAATGGCAACTGAAACTATGAAATCGATAAAATACAATTATAATACTATTTCATAATAATAAAAAACCTATGTATGTATATATGCTTTAAACTCCAACTCTTTCGATAGCTTATCTCAAATCGGAAAACTACACTTTTCATGAATGGAAAAATTTTTGAATGGAAACTTTTCAGTTTCGAAACACTTTCACTAATCATATAGTATACATGGTAAAGAGAGCGAGCTCTTAACACGCCTCT